TCTTCACCCTCCTGCTGAGACTCTCCTTTTTCTCAAAACCTCTGCCCACTTCCCCCTCCCCTGAACTTATTAAAGTTAAACCTTCTGGGGGTCCAAATGCTAAATCCCTAGTGTTTTATGTTCCCCGAACTAAGTAAAGTTGACTTGTTAGCCATCCATAGTCAAAGATTTTCTGAAAGTAACTGAGAAACCCATAGGTTTGCTGAAGAATTTAACATTAGTGATTCAGACTTGTCAACCTGGCTTCTCAGATATGTATCAATTAGTCCACAGGCTTATTAGTGAAGGTCAGGCCCCACACTGAATGAAACCAAGTGGGAATCTGGAAGGGATTTGGAAAAACAGACCCTGAGTGTTGACAGGCCTGAGGACTTGCTGGAGATCTTTACTGAACATTTCAAAAGCTTTTTCTAAGCTTGTTGATGGGAACAAAATTCAGGCTGGTAGGCAACGACCTGACAAACGTGTTCACAGCTATTATAGTCGACTTAGGTTGTCCTTAAAGAAAATTCTGGTCTTCCTCTGGAGACTGAATCTGTGAAGGAGCAGGACACTATGGGGCCTTCCCAGAACAGCCCCTCCCCCCCACCATGTCCTCCACCTGCCTCTTGTCTGTAGAAAACCTTTAGTCTCCCAGGCCTTCCCCGAGTTTCAAGAGTACATTTAATCAGAGAAGTGAGAAAATGCAGAAGAGAGGAAAACAAACAATACCAAAAAACAATAGTTTAGCCATTAAACAAAGCCAAGGACCTTTAGTTCCTCCTCAAGGGCTATAGATCATATTCTGAGCCTTGTTCTTGAGCTGTGTTGCAGATACTGAAAACCCCACCAGGTGGAAGACGCTAACTGTATGCTGTCGCTCCAGCCTGTAGACCCCAGACTGGTTGGAACCAGAAGGGTGATGATGCTGACTCCCAATAACCTCACCACCAACCCAACAGAAGAATGTCCAAACTTCCCTCGTGGCGCAGTGGTTAAGAATCTGCCTGCTGATGCAGGGGACACGGGTTCGAGCCCCGGTCCGGGAAGATCCCACGTGCAGCGGAGCAACTAAGCCCGTGTGCCACAACTACTGAGCCCACATGCCTAGAGCCCATGCTCCGCAACAAAGATGAGCCACTGCAATGAGAAGCCCGAGCACTGCATCAAAGAGTAGCCCCCGCTTGCCGCCACTAGAGGAAGGCCGCACGCAGCAATGAAGACCCAACGTGGCCAAAGATAAATAAATATTTTTTTAAAAATCAGTAAACTTATTTTTTTTTAATTTTTTAATTTTTTTGTGGTATGCGGGCCTCTCACTGTTGTGGCCTCTCCCGTTGCGGAGCACAGGCTCCGGACATGCAGGCTCAGCGGCCACGGCTCATGGGCCCAGCCGCTCCGCAGCACGTGGGACCTTCCCGAACCAGGGCACAAACCTATGTCCCCTGCCTCGCCAGGCGGACTATCAACCACTGCGCCACCAGGGAAGCCCAGTAAAGTTATTTTTAAAAAAATGTCCACGAGCTGATCACATACCCCACAACCCTCCTCCCTCACCCTGTCTTTAAAAACCTTAACCTGGGGCTTCCCTGGTGGCGCACTGGTTGGGAGTCCGCCTGCCGATGCAGGGGACGCGGGTTCGTGCCCCGGTCCGGGAGGATCCCACGTGCCGCGGAGCGGCTGGGCCCGTGAGCCGTGGCCGCTGAGCCAGCGCGTCCGGAGCCTGTGCTCCGCCGCGGGAGAGGCCACGACAGTGAGAGGCCCGCGTACCGCGAAAAAAACAAAAAACAAAAAAAACAACCTTTACCTGAAAGGCTCAAGGGAGTTTAGGTCTTCTGAGCACTGGCTGCGCGGACTCCTTGCTTAGCGCCCGCAATAAACGCTGCCCGTTCCTTCCTCACACACTGGAGTCAGGAGGTTGGCTTTACTGCATATGGACAATCAGACCCGAGTTTGCTTTGGTAACAAATCCACTCAGGTAGCCTTTAACTCTGTGTTCATTAACAGGCGTAACTGGGATCCTTCCCTTCTAGATAAAAGGACCAGGGTCGAACCGGAAACCATGTCCACTCCAGATTTAGCTAATTTAGCTACCAACTCATCTGCACGCTAGACTATTCAACCGAAAGGAAGTCCACTCAAACCCTTAACCTTCGGCTCCAGCAAATGAAGGTCCCTAAACAAAACCCAAACCCTCCTAGTTCCTGCTATTGTCGCAAAAAGCCAGGACTTTGGGAAAAAGATTGTCACAAGTGTAAGTGCTTCAAGTGCCTTCAGCCCTCTAACCAGCCTTTCCAATGCCCTCCTCACCACCACCAACGGGCCTCTGAGGTACCACAGGGGTTCTTCCCAACCCTCCCTCATCAGCTCAGAAAAACAACTCTCCAGATTGGGAATGAATCTCTTTTGGCACCAGAGCCACACTCTCAGTTCAACTGCGGTAAAGCAGCCCCTGCCTCAGAGCATGAAAGTGATCCAAATAGTGGGAGTCTCTGATGAACCTCAACAGGGTCCTGTCTCTGAACCTGTTCCTTTTCATTCAGGCCTCTGAGAGATACCCACACTTCCCTCCTTAGTCTCTCTGCCCCTATTCATTTATTGGGCCAAGACAGCTCAGCAAATATGCTGGAATTTCTTTCTCCCAAAAGGGGAAATAATTCTAGAATTTCACAGTAACAGTCAAAATAGCCAACCAAGTGAATAAAGCGACCCTTCACTGGCTTGGCTTTGCTTTGTCTCTGACGGTCCTGGAGCTGATTCGGGAGACGCTGATCATTTGTCCCTACTGAGTCAGCTACCATCCTCCTTATGGGCAAAACGTCTCCAACTGATATTGGCAAAATCCACAGTGCTTTTCCCATTAAGACTCAAATAGGTCCCTCGAAACCTCTCCCCAAAACTAATCAATACTCTATGAGTAAAGAAGCCCTTCAAGGTATAAAACCCATAAGAGGATTCCAAGGCTCAGAGCCTCACTACCCCTTGTGCTAGTCTCTGTAATACTATTAAATATAACCTGTGAGAAAGCCCAATGGCTGAGGATAGAGGTCTGTCTAGGACCTGCAGGCAATAATCAACGTTGCTGCCCCTCGACACCCTGTTGTTCTTAACCTCCATACTCTACTAGCATCCATTCCTACTGAAAGCAAATTTTTTCACTGTTATTAATCTGTGCTGTGCATGCTTTGGTACAGGCACACCTCAGAGATATTGCAGGTTTGGTTCTAGACCATTACAAAAAAGCGAGTATCACAATAAAGCAAGTCACATGAATACTTGGGTCCCAGTGCATATAAAAGTTGTGTTCATACTCTAAAGCAGTTTATTAAATGTGCAATAGCATTGTGTCTAAAAAACAATATATGTACCTTAACTTAAAAATACTTTATTCCAAAAAATGCTAACCATCATGAGGCTTCAGCAAGTTCTAATATTTCGCAATAGTAACATCAAAGATCACTGACCACAGATCACCGTAACAAATATAATAGTAATGAAAATGTTTGAAAAATTCCAAGAATTACCAAAATGTGACACAGAGACAGGAAGTGAACAAATGCGGTTGGAAAAATGGTGCCCACAGACTTGCTGGATGTAGGGTTGCCACAAACCTTAAATTTGAAAAAAACACAAGATCTGCAAAGTGCAATAAACCAAAGTACAATAAAACAAGGTGTGCCTGAATTCCAGCTGATAAGGCTAACTGAGACCTTTTCAGCCTTCACTTGGGAAGGACAATACATCTGGACATTATTGCCCCAAGGTTTCACTGAAATTCCTTCTTACTTTTCACAGGCTTAAAGGCTGATGTGGATGCTATGATTCCTGCAGGCTCTACTTTATTACAGTATGTGGATGATTATCTGCTCTGCTCACCTCCTCAAACCTCTTCACAGGAAGACATCATCCAACTGCTAAAACTTTTGGTTTCAAAGGAGCATTAAAGCCTCCAAGGAAAAACTGCAGTTGTTCAAACTCAGGATCGCTATTTAGGTCACCGGATCTCGGAACAAGGACGCATTAGGATCCAGATAGGCTTCATGGCATTCTGAACTTCCCCAAACCTAACACTAAGCCCCACCTCCAGTGGACTTTCATACAAAGCAGCCCTTCCCAACTTCCCTTTTTTCTCTGTAAAGTACTATTGCTTTCCCTGGTCTCTGGACATGGCGATTACAGGCTATATTTGCACACCGTTAACTGCAATTCCTCTGCCATTCTTGAACAAACTCATTTTGCTGATTAAATAGCCAGCTATTTTTAAGGTTGATAGGTCCATGGATGAAAACTCCCAGAGCCTCTTACTCTGCAACGGGCCCCCCCCCCCCCCCCCCCCCCCCAGGAACTCACTTGCTCCGAGTCATCGAGGAGACGGGGTGTTTGGTTCTGTGTTTTAAACTGGCGGGCCGATGACACATCGTCTCCTGGTAAGCCATCAGGTTCACCTCTCGCTGACCCCGGCCCCCCCAAGGCCCCAGCCCCTCCAGGCTCTGGGGCAGGCACCCGGGTCAAATCCACCTGGTGCGGGAGGGCGAGGTCGAGACCTGGGGTCCAGAGGCACCCCGCCGACAGGGCGGAGCGGTGGCACAGCTGCCCGGTGTCAGCGCCAGCCCGAGAAGGCCCGGCCCATCCCACGGCCCACAGGCCCTGGGGAAGCCGCGCGGGGGCGCAACGACAGGGAAATCCCAGGGGAACCGGCTCGAGCAGAAACCCCACCGGCGGCGCAGCCACACCAGCGAGATGTGCGCAGGAGCGAGCGGGGTGGGCGTGACGTCACCGCGCACGCACGGAGGCGCGCCGTGGGATGTAAGCCCGCACGCAGGAGCAGCGACGGCGGGCGCAGGCGCAGTGGGACTCCGAGGGCGCGGCAAAGGCGCATTGGCTCAGAGCGATGGGCGGGGAGTCGACGGCGCCGCGATGGCCGCCTACCGGCGTCGGACCTGCCGGCCTCACTGCCCAGCTCGGAGCCGGGCCTCCTGACGACGCCGGAGGGCGAGGCTCCCCGGCCCGCTGCCGCTGTCATGTATCCGCCGCCGCCGCTGCCGCCGCGTCGGGACTTCATCTCGGTGACGCTGAGCCCCGGCCGGAGCTACGACGGCGGCCAGGGCCTGAGGCGGCGCTCGTTCTGGCGGGTGAGGGGCGGCCTGGGGGCCTCCCCGGGGCGAGCGCACGAACGCGGCTCCCGGGGTGTCGGGCTGCAGGGCCGCGGCGAGGCCGGCGGAGCCTGAGCCAGCACACGCGGGCTGCCGGTCTTTCCCCGCTGCCCACGTGTCAGCCAGAAACGGTCTCCGCGTGGGTTTGCATTCTCGAACGCGGGCCCGTGCGGTGTGTCGTCTGCAGCAGTATCATCCCAGCCTGCGGCCCCTGCCGAGAGGCAGCTACCTCCGGTTCAAAAGCAGCAGAGCCCACGCTGGGCCTCCGGAATTCCTCGTCGTCCCCACGGAGTGTGTCACAGTGCGAGAGATTTCCAGCTGTGCTTCTTTCAGTAAAAAGTGTCATTGTCTGTCTCTCTCAGAAATGGAAGCAGCTGTCGAGGTTACAGCGGAACGTGGTCCTCTTCCTGCTGGCGTTCCTGATGCTCTGCGGCCTCCTGTCCTACATCAGTGTGGCCGACGAGTGGAAAGGTACCAGCTCCACGATTCCGCAGTGATCCGTGGGGGTTCCTGAGGGCGGAGTAAGCGGCAGCAGCGCTGTCTCGCAGCTGCAGGAGGCATAGACGTCGACACATTGGCAGGAAGTCGAAATACAGAGAAGCCTAGCGTGTTCCCAGGCCTCGGCTAGGAGGTGGCTGTTAATTTGAGGTTGTGTGACTGTTTCCCAAATGTCTGCTGTGAGGACCGGCATCTCACCCTCTCTGTCTCACAGTGAGATTCAGGTCCTGAGGCTGAATGCTGAGTCCGAACGCGTTGCGTGGATTCCTCACACGCGCTACCGGGAGCTGGGAAGGGCCGGGCAGGGTCCAGAGAGGAGGAGCAGGGTCCCTTCTGAATTGCTCTAGGATGGCTTCTTCGAGGAGGAAGGCTAAAGCGCTGCTGTAGGTTTTGCTCCTGCGAACGGCCCGTGTGCCACCTTGTGCCACCTTGTGCCCTTCCCGAAACGGGAATCATAAAGGCAGAGCAAGGGGGATGTGGGTGGGGATAAGGACGGAAACTGCCAGGTGCTTTGGAAAAGGTTTGATTCCCTTTGGCCATTCTTGAATTGCTTGAACTGCCCTCTTCGGAGGTCCCACCGCGTCCTTTTACACAGAGTCATAGCTGTGTGGATGCTGTCTCGAGTGCACGTTCAATGTTCTCCAGGCTTTGTGGTGAATTTGAGATAAAGTAGATTCTCTTGTTTAGCCGTGGGCAGCAGTTCGGCAGAAGGGCCGAAGATGAGACCCGCAAATCCACCCGTCTTGCCAGCTCCTCGGAGAGCAGCTGAGAACCCGGAAAGCTTCGCGGGAGCATCACCTCAGGTATTTTGAATAAACCATACGTGGAGTTGTAACCCGGGCCCGTGCCAGAAGCACTTCGGAACAGTACGTGCTGTTTCAGACAGTCTGGGGAGGGTTCTGTTTCTTACCATTTCTTTGAGGTTTTAACCTCACGCTCCTTACTCTGGGCTGGTTGGATGAAGGAGGCAGGGGGAAAGGAAGCAGGCCATTCTGTCCTTTGTCTTCTTTGTGCATCTGCCGTGCCGGATCCTTGGTAGGTGTGAACGAGACCCATCCCTTTTCTCTGGGAGCTACTGGCGGGGGACACTCAGGCGGGCGCTTCGCTCTGGACCTGCCCAGACCGAGTTGCTGGGGGCCCGAGCGTCAGTCGGGGCCTGGGAGAGAGGTTTGGGAGTACGCAGGTGCGTGGTGCCTGCTGTCCAGAAAGGGGGAGGGAGGGGCGAGGCCTAGCCCTGGGGTGCCTTCCGGGGTGGGGGAGGACGTGGAGACTAGAGGGCAGTCTGGGCAGCCAGAGAGCCAGGGAAAGTCCCCTGCAAAGGGCAGTGGCTCCTGGGGGGATGGCCTTGGAGAACTCGGGGCGCTCTGCACCTGGGGACACCCTCCACTGCAGGTTGGGGTGTCCGTCCATGTGCGCCGAGGGCCCCCCAGGGAGAGGATCCTGGGACAGGTGCTGGCCTCACACCCCTGCAGGGCTGCCTTGGGGAGACACAGGTGGCCGTTCTCCCCGTGTCTCACTGGAGAGTCTGTGGGTAAAAGAGGGAATTTCTCCTTTGGAGCCATGAGCATTCATTCTTCCACTTCTGTGGCTGCTCTTTTGCCTGCTGACCTTCACAGTCCTGTGAAAGCAGAATGCGGCACTTTCCCCACTGAAAGACACCTTCCCACACTTCGGCGTCCACGACCCCGTCTCTGGTGTCTAGGAGGGGCTGGATGTGAGGGGCTGGACATGAGGGGCTGAATACCCGTGTCTCCTCTGGCACAAGTCCTGGGGTCGCTGTGCACCTGAAGGCCGCTCGGACCTTCTCTCCTGCTCAGACGCCAGCACTCCCAGGAGCTGTTTGAGCGAAGACGCAGCCTTGTTTCAGCCAGACCTGCGCCCTTGACCAGGGGGGCCCAGCTTGGTGGGGTTTGAATCCTTGGAAGGAGAATGTCTTCCAGGATCCGCCAGCAAGGTTTCCATGAATGCTGAAAAGCAGAGACTTTTCCATTCACAACTCAGCGTCCTCACGTCCTGGAGGAGTTGCCAGTCACGCGCACTGGTCAGGGCTGGCTGGGAGCCAGGAGGGGCGCTGCCCTCCCCGCAGTGCTCTGTCACTGACCGGCCACCTCTGCCATGCCCTTCCAAAGATGAAGCTGGGGAGTCCGGGCGCGGGCCTGCGACAGTGGTGTCTGCGGCTCCATCCATGGGGCCGTGCTGGCTCTCACCCTGCCGGCCCTGCTACCCTCAGGGTCTGACACCCGGAAACGTCCCTGCCAGGGGATTAACCTGCTGTCCAGGGTGGCACTTGCCCGTTGGCAGAGCCTCCAGCCGGGTAGTCAGGGCCAGGAGCTGGCGAGTAAGGGGCTCCTCCCAGAGCTGCCCGTCATACGAAAAATGAAAACAATTTCCTCTGGGTAATTGCAGCTGCTCCGCCAGTCCACAGTGCTCCTTGCACGGGGCCGGGTCAGACGGGGGCAGCGTCCCAGATGGACGATTGAATCATTTCACAAGTGATTCTTGTCTCTTCTCGTGTCTGTCCAGAAGCCTCCAAGGCATTTCCGACGGGGACCACCCAACCTGCAGATTAGAGCCCCCGATGGAGACACCAAGGACAGGAGGCAGGATGAGGCCCAGAGGAGGGCAGAGGCAGCTGGCGAGGCTCGCTGGGAAGACGATGCGCAGGGAAGCCGCGTCAGGTACAGCAGAGATGGACTGAATGGGGACGCAGAGGCCGTCAGGCAGTCTCTGTGGTGTTTCTTTTTCTGGAAAACAGAGAACCAGCCTGACGCATAATGCGCCTTCTGGTTCCTGTTCCTCGCAGACAGTGTGTGCCCCGTGGGGGGTGGGAGGGCGTGGAGGCCCAGTCTGAGCCCAGCTCAGCTGCGACCTCGACCTCGACCTCGACCTCAGGGCCTCAGCACCTCTGCCCCTGCCCTGAGCGCTCTCTCTACTCCCGCTGCAGCTGGAGGGGCATAGGGACTGAACCGGAGCAGGGCCCCCAGCTCCCTCTGAGAAAGGCAGAGGCCGCCCCCAGGCCTTCCCCACAGGCTCTCAGGATGAGGAACAGTCCAGGTAAGGTCCCGCCTGCGCCTTCTCGGGCCTCCCCCGGGCACTCTGAGGGAGGGCACGTGTGGACACGCACAAGAGCGGCGGGGCGGCGGGGGGCTCCTTGGCGGCTGTCGTCCAGTGTCCAGCGCTGCAGCCACACAGGAACGTGTGTGCGGGAGGCTCGTTTCCCGCCTGTGTCCGGGCAGCCAGGGGCCTTGGGTGCTGCGGTCTTCATGTGGCTCCTTGAGGGGTCAGTCTGTCCTGTTCCCATTCCATGGACAGGAGAACTGAGTCTGGGTCCCCGCCGGGACCCTCTGCTCTCGGTGCTGGAGCCCCCAGGGAGGACAAGAGAGCCCGGAGTGGGGACTCGTGGCCACGCACGTGGGGACACGGGGTGACTGTGTGGGGTTAGAAATGGACGGCAGAGCCGTGGGTGTCGACACTGACGGGACATGTGGTGAAGCTGTGGACACACGTGTTCCCCTGCACGGTAGCCCCGTGTGTGCACGTGGTCCCCCCGCGTGTGGCGGGAAGCAGCCTCTGGATGTGCCCCGAGGGCGCCCTGGGGAGTGTCGGAGTGGCCTTGGTGGTGTCTGCTCCCCGTTTTGTCCCCGTTGGAAGTGCCCGCAGCTGATCGGGCAGGACGTGGCACCACCAGACGAGGTATTTTTGTCCGGGTCACCAGCGCCTGTCACGTTTGATGTCCCCAAACCAGACTGCACATCGCAGCCGTAGTGGTCCCGCGGTCTCCGATCCTTTGCTCTGCGAGTGTTCACTGCCCCCCGGTGGTCCCCACCGGGCTCTGGTGGAGGCAGATGGGCCTGGGCCAGGCAGCGGGTCCTGCTCAGACCTTCACTGCAGCCCACAGTGCCCCCCGTCTGCCTCCCTTGCCGAGGGGCCGCAGGACAGCTCTGTCCGGGCGCCCACGCCCCGCTTCCCTCCTCGCAGCCTCGCAGAACGAGCGCCAGAAGGCTGTGGTCGCCGCTTTCCGCCACGCGTGGGCCGGATACCGCAAGTTCGCCTGGGGCCACGACGAGCTGAAGCCCGTGTCCAAGTCCTTCAGCGAGTGGTTCGGCCTCGGCCTCACGCTGATCGATGCCCTGGACACCATGTGGATTTTGGGTCTGAAGAAAGGTATCTGCTCATCCCTAGCATGGGGGGCCGAGCTCTCGTGCGTGACCCTCAGGCCCGAGCGAGCCTGGCCTGGGAGGTGTCCACGCGCCGTGTCCCGCTGGGCTGCGCCTCCCCTCATCCTGGGTGCCAGGGTGGCCGTGCTGGCCGTGGGCAGTTCCTTTGTCCCCTCACGTCCAGGCGGCCTGGGGATGCTCAGGACAAGCGTCCCCTGCGCCCCCTGCCCAGAGCTGAGTGAGGCTGTAGGCGGGCTTCCAGGGGCGTTCCCAGCCCGTGTTTCTGTTGCAGTCAGGCGGGGCCCGGTGGTGGGAGGTGACACGTGATCTGACGAAGCTGCCAGCGCCCCGAATCTCTCCCTAATGTCCTCCTGTGCCGCGCAGATGGGGCTAAGTTGGGATGGTGTGTCTCTAGGTGTTTCTAAACTGGCATTTTAAACAACTGCTTTAAGTTTTCTGATTGGGCTGAAGACCGCCTGCCACTCACTCACCCTCGTGGTCCTCTGTAGCGTGGCTGTGATTGTCGAGCACTTGACCTCGTGCTGCATGGCCTTCCCCCAGCTGCAAACTGGCTCGATTTTTTTGGGGGGATTGGAAGCCTTCAGGGTCCCCTCTTGCACTAGGAAGTGACGTTGAAACCCTGCAGGGGATGCATGTGGCCCCAGAGGGAGCAGTCAGGGAAACGCTTGGACTGTTAATTTGTTCCTGTATCTCTGCTGTTTCATGTGATAGAATTTGAAGAAGCCAGGAAGTGGGTGTCCCAGAGGTTATTATTTCAGAAAAATGTGGACGTCAACCTGTTTGAGAGCACCATCCGTATCCTGGGGGGTCTCCTGAGCGCCTTCCACTTGTCCGGGGATGTCCTCTTTCTGGAAAAGGCCGTGAGTGTCCCGGCACCAGGTCGGCTCACGTCCTGGGGGCACTGGGGTCTCGAGTGCTGCACAGTCGGTCCTTTTCTCGTGGGATCAGGGCGGGGAGGCATCGTTTGCAGTCTGCGCTCCCCTCCACGCGCTCGAGTCTGTTTCCGTGCACGTGCGTGGCTGAAGTGGCCCCGCTGCCTGCAGGCATGGTCATTCAGAGCTGGTTGAGTCCAGCTCGGTTTTTGCAGCTCTTCAGGGGTGGGGCCACATGAAGCCAGCAAACTCATCTCTCCACTGGATTAGATGGAAACGGGTGACAGGTTAGTGTCATGCCATGGAGACAGGCCACTCTGGGACAGGAATCATTGACTCATCGCTGTGTTGTGTATCAGGAGGACTTTGGAAATCGGTTAATGCCTGCGTTCCAAACACCCTCTAAGATCCCGTACTCCGACGTAAACATTGGCACTGGAGTCGCCCACCCACCGCGTTGGACCTCTGACAGCACGGTGGCCGAGGTGACAAGCATTCAGCTGGAGTTCCGAGAGCTCTCTCGTCTCACGGGAGTTAAGAAATTTCAGGTACGGAGGGGCTGTGCTTCCAGCTGGAGCGGGTTTGCGGCGGGGCTGTCTCTGCTTCGGTGGGGTGGGTGCAGGTCTTTGTGGTCATTGATCTGGGGCCTGAGACCAGCGTCGTTTTTGGTTTTGTCCTACGTTTTTCCTGGTGAATCCCATTATCTCGTGATATCAGAGGTGCAGGCATGAAAGGCATTGACTGGAGGGTGAGTCCTCTGCCCGGCCCCACCCCCGTGCAGACCCGTGTCCTTAGGGTCCTGGCAGTGGACGTCTTGTCGTGTGGTGCTCTGCGTGGCCCCGGGTCCACCTACTGTTGTCCGGGACTCTTCTGAGCCAGCGAGGGTGGCTGCTGCCGTGGGATGTGTGGAGTCACTGGGTTTTGTAGCCAGTTCAGTGCAGATGACACCGTGGTCGTCCCAGCTGTGGCACCTGGACTGTGCCCACGCACATGTCTGTCCTGGGCGGGCGGCTGGAGCGGGTGTTGCTGGCATGGCTCCTGCTGTGTGGTGGGACCAGCAGGTGCACGTGGAACGGAGGGCTGACTCGTGGTTTTTGTTCTTGGCTCTCTGTGTGTTATTGCCTCTAGCAGTGTCTTCTCGCCTGCCTCAGGCAGGGCCCCTCCTGTGGACGATGTCTCTGCTTGTGGGCCTTTCTCTAAGGTTGATTCTATTCCTTCAGCTTTTTTTCTCCCCCTCTTTTTTTTTTTAACGGTGGCATTTTATTTGTTTTAATTTTTTAAATTAATTAAATACTTATTTTTTCGTTGTGTTGGGTCTTCATAGCAGTGCATGGGTTTCTTACTGTGGTGGCTTCTCCTGTTGCAGAGCATGGGTTCTAGGCATGCAGGCTTCAGTGGTTGTGGCTGCAGGGCTCAGCAGTTGTGGCTGCAGGGCTCTAGAGCACAGACTCAGTAGGTGTGGCACACGGGCTTAGTTGCTCCGCCGCCATGTGGGATTTCCCGGACCAGGGCTCGAACCCATGTCCCCTGCATCGGCAGGCGGACTCTCAAACTGCACCACCAGGGATGCCTTCCCTTTTGTTTTTAATTGAGATTTAGTTTATATATCGAGAAATCCTGTCTTCTTCTGTGTGCGTTGCATGTACTCGCGTGTTTGTGACCGTCATCGTCATGTAATTCCAGAAAAATTCCTCACCCAGATTGAACCCAGCACTGCTTGCCGACCCCCCGTGGCAGCTGCACAGGGCTGGGCTCTGGCTCGGGCCCCATTCTGGTCAGTTCGTGCCCCTCCTGCAGTGACTACAGTCTGGGCGTGAGTGAGCATGGTGTCCTCAAGGTTGTAGGACCGGTCAGAATCCTTCCTTTCCAAGCGCAGACAGGTTTCATCGTGTGGGTTGACCGTGTGTCTGGACGGTCACCTGCTGAGCTTTGGTCTGTGTCCCACTGGGGATCTTGACGACACGGCTCCTGTCGGGTCCCGTCCTGCACAGACGTCCTCGTGTGTTGTCCAGCCATACTTGTGCCTCTTAGTGAGCGGGTGATTGTGTCTTGCCGGATCGACTTTTCTGACAATCAGTGGTTCGTCTTCTGAGTTTGCGTGTTGGGCTGCTGCGTATCTTCTGTGTATAAGGGCACCGTCAGGTCCCTTGCCCATCGGCAGACTGAAGGGGTCGTGTGCACGTTGTCAGGACGCATACACGCGCTACGGCAGCCACTTGCTCCTAAGATGTCCCCCGAGGGTGGGGGCTGGGAAACGTGGCGAGGGTGGGTTCAGCCCTGTGGTCGGGCCCGTCGGGGCGACAGCATCCAGGGAGCGCAGCCCTCTGTGCAGCCCGCCCTGCTCACTGCCCTGCCCTCCTCTGCCCCAGGAGGCCGTGGAGGAGGTGACCCGGCGCGTGCACTCCCTGCGCGGGAAGCAGGACGGGCTGGTGCCCATGTTCATCAGCACGAGCAGCGGGCTCTTCACGCACCTGGGCGTGTTCACCCTGGGCGCCAGGGCCGACAGCTACTACGAGTACCTGCTGAAGCAGTGGATCCAGGGCGGGAAGAAAGAGACCCAGTGAGGCCCGTCTCGCAGCTCTCGGGGGGGGGCCCGTCTCGCAGCTCTCGGGGGGGGCGCCCGTCTCACAGCTCTCGGGGTGGGGGGGGCCGGCAGCCGCGCCAGCTGGGCCCGGGCCCATCCGCGGGGCGGGTCTCTCCTCACAGCCTGTGTGCAGAGCCAGGGCCTGGCCGGCCGCTGGGGTCCACGGCTCATCAGTGCTGGGCAGCCGGGGTCTTCCTCGGGCCTGTGGCCGCCCTGCTGGCGTCCGCTCCCGCGGCAGGCGACCGGGGCCACCTGGGCCTCCTCGAGCTTAGCGCCGTGACCCTGAAAACGCATGCTTTCCCGGGGAACAGCCGTAGCTCCTTGTCAAGTTTGGAAAATAGAGATTAACCCTCGAGTCTCAGGCCCAGGGGTGACAGTGACCGCGCCAGCTGTGCCCGGGCCCATCCGCGGGGCGGGTCTCTCCTCACAGCCTGTGTGCAGAGCCAGGGCCTGGCCGGCCGCTGGGGTCCACGGCTCATCAGTGCTGGGCAGCCGGGGTCTTCCTCGGGCCTGTGGCCGCCCTGCTGGCGTCCGCTCCCGCGGCAGGCGACCGGGGCCACCTGGGCCTCCTCGAGCTTAGCGCCGTGACCCTGAAAACGCATGCTTTCCCGGGGAACAGCCGTAGCTCCTTGTCAAGTTTGGAAAATAGAGATTAACCCTCGAGTCTCAGGCCCAGGGGTGACAGTGACCCAGGATCAGGGGCAGACGCAGCCCCAGGCTGTCACCCACGGGTGAGACGAGGGTGTCACCAACCGGGGAGCCCGCGGGCTGGTTCAGAGAACCGGGCTGAGCGCGTCGGGGCCAGGGGCTCGGCAGAGACTGGTCTCTGGTGGCCCCTTGGGGCTGGTTGGGAGGCACGGGCCCTGGTGAGGGGCAGGGGCAGAAGCCCACGGGGCTGACACAGGCCTCCACGCGGAGACTGGCAGGGAACCACCCCAGACAGGGCAGCCGCGAGAATGGGGACGGGAGCTCAGGGTCGTGCCCTTTCCCGGAACACAGGGGCTGTGTGCCCGCCTGGCCTGAGCACACGGGCCCCGCTGGTCTGCACAGGCTACTGGAAGACTACCTCGAAGCCGTGGAGGGAATCAGAAAGCACCTGCTGCACAGATCTGAACCCGGCAAGCTGACCTTCGTGGGGGAACTCGCCCACGGCCGCTTCAGCGCTAAGATGGTGAGCCTGGTCTGACGCGGCCGAGTGGGGTCTTGGGGCTCTGCCCTTTGTCCTTGACATTGGATGGCTCTGAGACTCTGGACGTCGGAGGGAACCATGCGATTCTGGCCACGGAGTGTGAGCCGTCCCGAGTGGACGCGGGCTGCGTGGCCTGGGCTGTCCTGTGACGGGGAGCTGAGGTCTGTGTGGTGCCAGGGCCCCTCCCCTGCTCCAAGCCCTGCCTCCCATGCTCCGGGGGACCCCTGCCCCCAGCCCCCCTTCCCCCGCCCTCCTGCAGCTGGTGCTCCATTGGCCGTTTGGGGCAGGAGGTGAGGGAGACCCGGGTCAGCATGTGCTTCCTGGGAGGTGGTGGTCCTTCTAGCAGCTTCTGCCCTGCGCACGTGGGGCCCCGGTGTGTGGCCTGCAGTTCAGTCCCCTGTTGGAGCCCTGCCGGCACTCAGGCCTGTTGGCTCCTGGGAACATGGGAGGCCTGATAACGCCGGACCCGTGTGGAACCCGTGAGGCCGCAGGTCCACGGTGGTGAGGTGACCCTCTGATTCCAGGACCACCTGGTGTGCTTCCTGCCGGGGACGCTAGCTCTGGGCGCCCACCACGGCCTGCCCGCCGACCACATGGAGCTGGCCCAGGAGCTCATGGACACCTGCTACCAGATGAACCGCCAGATGGAGACGGGGCTGAGCCCCGAAATCGCGTACTTCAACCTGCACCCCCAGAAGTCCCAGAAGGACGTGCAGGTCAAGGTGAGCCACGCTGGGGCCGGTGCGGCTCAGGGGTGCCAGGGCCGGGGCGTGGCGAGGCTAATCCTGAGCCCGCGTTCCCCCCAGGCCGCCGACAGACACAACCTGCTGCGGCCCGAGACGGTGGAGAGCCTGTTCTACCTGTACCGCCTCACGGGCCACCGCAAGTACCAGGACTGGGGCTGGGAGATCCTGCGCAGCTTTGACACGTACGCGAAGGTGAGGGCCCGCCCACCGCCGGGCTCTCATCCCCAGCTCCTCGCCGTCGCCTGCCGCCTGCACTGGGCGGGGGAGGCCACGCCCCGGCCGCGAGGGCCCAGCTGCCCAGCACTGCCCTCAAGGTGTACATGACCAGGGGGCCAGGGCATCCCTCCTGTCTCGGGGGGCCAGCCTGTGTGGGGAGGATCCCTGCAGCGGCCCGAGATGCACAGAGCGTGTCCCTCCGGGGCTGTCTGTGTGGCCTGGGCGGCACTTGCCCACCTGGAGGTCACTTCTGGGCCGCTGCTCCCCAGGACGGGTGCCGTGACCGCCGCCACCCCCGCTGTGCTCAGGCCCAGCCGCCCATCGTACGGCCGGGGCCATGGCTCAGAGAAGGTCTCGCCCTGCCCAGGGCCCAGCGCCCAGCGCAGCGGAGCTGAGACTTGGTCTTTGCCCCGTGGCACGTGAGGTGCTGGGTTGTACACCCCTCGGGTGACCTCTGGGATTTTGCAAGACCTATACAGGTTCTGGAGATCGCACTTTCCATCTGGTCACTTGCAGGCTGCTGGCATCCCCCAGGGGGTCCCTGGAGGAACCATGGCTGACCTCCGGGGCGGCCAGTCCCCTTGTGGGCCTTGGTGTCCTCACCGCCCCAGACCCTGCCCTGGGGGGCTGTGTGTGCTGTGGTGGGGCAGGGGGCTCGGGAGGGCCTCTAGCCTGCAGCTCTTGAAAGGGCTGAGCCTGCATCGTGACGCTGTGGCTTGGGCTCTCATGCAGGTCCCCTCGGGCGGCTATTCTTCCATCAGCAACGTCCAGGACCCCCGCAATCCCCAGCCCAGGGACAAGATGGAGAGCTTCTTTCTGGGGGAGACGCTCAAGTACCTGTATCTGCTATTCTCCGACGACCCAGACCTGCTCAGCCTGGACACTTACGTGTTCAATACGGAGGCTCACCCCCTGCCCATCTGGGCCCCCTCCTAGGGCGGGACGGCTCCCGAGTGGGTGCTGCCCGGGGGACCGACGAGTCCTGTCATGGAGGGTGCCTGTGGGCAAGACCCTGGCCCTGACCTTGGCTGTGCAGTGTCCTCCCAGCCAGCTGGAAATGCTCCAGGCCGGGCTGATGACAGAGGCCAGCGGCAGCTGGGCCAGGACGTTTCGGGGCCTCATAGCTGCTTGGCATGGCCGCTGGGCTTCTGGTGCTCTGCCATGGGTTCTGGGCTCCTTGCCTGGCTCTCATCGGGACACCGTTAGGAACAAGTAGGAATAAATCAGCGCTGTGGTTTAGGGAGGCCCCGCCTACCTGGGGAGCCTCTTCCTTCTTCTGAGAAAATCAAATCGTGAGTACATTCCTGAAACCCAAATGCCCTCCTGCTGGCTGTGCAGGGCTTCCTAGGGGTCCTGGGCGACACTGGGTCCCCAGAGCCCATGATGAGATCAGAGACAGGTGCTGCGGGGACAGCCTGGGTACAGCTCAGCCTCGGGGCCTCACAGCCTGTGAACACGCCCCAACCCGGGGGTCTCGGGGCATCCGTGACCTCATGGGGATCTGGGCCCCTGGCTGGCTGTGGTGTTTACACGTTGGACTCAGGGATCCTCCCCTTGCCCTTGCAGGGGCTGGGCGGGGCTGGGCGGGCAAGTTCACTGGCTCCCAGGCCAGCCTTGATTGATGGACTTTTCAGTGGAGATAAAAGTACATTTGTTCTAACTGGCACCTGCTGTGTCTTTGTTTCTGGAATCACAACTGTGAAACTGGAAGGGGCGGCAGGGGCAGTGTTTGGGTCAGGTCTGACGTGTCCAGAGGTCAGCTTTGCCCCTGCCCCCGGGGGGAGATTTGGGAGTGTCAGCTTCCCGGGGCAGGTGCTGGCCACAGTGGCGCCCAGGGTGAGAACATGCCTGTGATGGTTGCCGGTGCCAGTGAGCATGGCGGGCCCCACCTGCTCTGCCCACTTCCCTGGCATGTGGGGTGTCCGCGCCTGGGGCTCCTTCTCAGGGTGCCTGGTCAACGTATTTCATCTCTTCTTTTAAAAAATAAATTTATTTTATTTAATTTTGGCTGCATTGGGTCTTCGTTGCGGTGCTTAGGCTTCTCATTGCGGCGGCTTCTCTTGTTGCAGAGCATGGGCTCTAGGTGCGTGGGCTTCAGTAGTTGCGGCACGCAGGCTCCGTAGTTGTGGCTCGCGGGCTCTAGAGTGCAGGCTCAGTAGTTGTGGTGCACGAGCTTAGTTGCTCTGCGGCATGTGGGATCTTCCCGGACCAGGGCTCAAACCCGTGTCCCCTGCATTGGCAGGCGAATTCCTAACCACCGCACCACCACGGAAGCCCTCACTCCTTTTCTTTAGCCGGCTGCACCCATGCCTTAGGACTGACCCCGGGGTAGCTTTCCGGAGAAGTCAGGATCCTGGGCCTCGACTGGCCCTAGCTCCCAGGCCCTGGTGACCCTGTAGGACAGGCCAGCCCTTTCTCCGTGTTAAATGTGAGGAGACTTCGTTCTTACTCCTAGAAGCCTCTACACAGGCACCGGACCCGGGGTCAGGCAGGGCCTGGCCTGCCGCTGTGGCCCCTCCTCCGCTCGCAACTTGTGCGCTCACCCTCAGGCAGGGTTGCCGCCCTCCACTTGCCCACCGGCCCTGCAGGCTCCGTGCCCGGCAGGTGCCCGGCAGGTGTGTGCGGGGCCCGTGTCTCAGTCGGCCTCTTGCCCTGCCTCTCACGGCTGTGGCTGCCTGCCTGGCACGACCTCCCCAGCTGGAGGGCGTGTGATGCTCCCTGTCGCTACCCTGCAGCCAGCCCCCCATACCCCAGCGCAGGAGCCTCTTGGGCAGCGGTGGGTGTGGGACTCGGGACAGCAGGGTTCCCACGCGGTGGGGCCTGAGTCCGCTGAGTGAAGCAGACTGCCCCCCGGCCCCGCCCAGGCCTGGCCCCAAGCAGGGGCACTTGGGGGCTGCAGGGCTCCCCAGACGGACACTGCAGTGGCTGGGGACAAAGAGGATGAAGACAGCTGAGAAGGGAGGTGGGCAGTCACTGGGGTGGCCTGTCGTGGTGGTGTGGATTGGCCACCGCAGGAGAGGCCGGCATCCCCCGTCACCCAAGACAGACGGGAGCTGAGGACTCTGCTTTATTTATCAGCTGAGTTTAGGAGGTGGTGTAAGCATGTTCACTGTATCCAGGGCCTCAACAGGACGTGGGACAGGACGTGGGACAGGACATGCCTGACAGGCCACCAGCGTTTGTCCGGCCTCTCCCTCGGGCAAGGCCCTGCCCACCCTGGCCGAGCTCCAGGTTCAGGAGGTTGGGCCAGGGCTCCTCCCCTCCTTACTCGCCTCAGGCTCCCAGCAAGTCCTCTCCGGTCCTGCTGGGGGAGCACCCCTCAGCCTCTGAGCCCCTGTGCTGTGCCAGCCGCAGCCGTTGCTCATGCCTGGCTGCCTCGACCCACTTGCCGATGAGGGTGGCCTCTAGCCTGCGCGCCTCCACGACAGAGGCAGGGTCTTCTGGGTGGGACGCTCTGAGGAGCAGGCGTGGGGGGCACTCAGCAGGGCTGGCAGGCCCCGAGCCTCACACCACCCTAACCCACGTCCAGCCATCGGCCCAGGCCAGGTACTGCACCCCCTCCCCAGGCAGGACTGCACCTGAGATCCAGGTGATGCGCTCCCCCGTGGATGGTGACGGCGAGGACTGACGCGCTCAGGTTGCTCTGAATCTGTATCATTGAAGGAGCCTCGTGTCAGGGGTGCAGACTGTGCTCTGGGCCTCAGCCTTGTAGCACAACCTGCCGGGAGGCTTCATGTCCCAGCCTGTGGGGTGCAGTTAAAGCAGGAGTCTGAGGTGACTGCATAGACCTGAACGGTCCCATTAGAAATGAAAGGTGAAGATGAATGAGCCAGGAATCAGGAAAAGAAGCAACAAAGTGGGAGGAGGGAACAATGGAGGTTGGAAGAATCTAGGAGGTACAGGTTCCTTGATGTGCTGGGACCCAAACAGGGCAGGGACTTCCTGGCCGTGACTCACCCCTCCCCCTGCCCAGGGGTCCAGGTCACCGTTGGAGAAGATGATGTTGCTGGCAGCTGTGAGGTCTGAGACGGACAGAGCAAGCAGTGGTGGGGACCGGGTGGGGCCCCCCAAATTTGTGACCCAGGGGCTAGGGAGTGTGGGAAACAGAGGCAGCTCAGTGCAGGGGGAAGGATGCCGCCCCCAACCCTGTCTTGAGCCTCACCGCCTCCCCCAAAGCTGGTCTGCAGCCAGTCCTGCCGGAGCCATACGCCCCACGTGTCCAGGCAGTACTGCTGGCGCAGGGCTTCAGTGAAGGGCAGGTCAGGGAAGATGTCCGACACATTGTTGCTGGAAAACGTCAGGTTGATCTCAGTGCAGGCCTGCGGGACACCCGCACCACCATCAGGCCAGGGAGCCAGGACACCACATGTCGCACCCCATACCTGGCAGTCCCAGGCCCCCAGCTCCCACATACCTGGTAGTCCCAGGCCTGGGCATCAGGGCCCGAGCCGCAGCCCGTGGGGTCGGCACAGGCCTGGTACTGCAGGTAGATGTCATAGCAGGGCTCCGTGCCCGAGGAGTTGTACACCAGGCCTGGGGGAGAGGGGTACTGGGGCTGGGTGTCTGGACACCCACCCTGACCCCTTAGACGGGTCCAGCAGGTGTCAGGGGCTCTGGGATCCTATGGGCCCAGTGAGGAGTGGAGTGGCTGGGATCTGTACTATCAGTTCCCGTCCTGGCTGCTGAGGGCAGCTGGGCAGCCCACCTTGATGTTCCCCCTCCCAGCAGGGTGGGCTGAGGTGGGGTGTGCTGCCCTTTGCACTGGGGACCTCCCAGAAGGCCCTTGGGTTCGCGCTCTCCAGGCTGGGCCACGACGGGGATGGCCACTTCCTGCCCCAGGGGCCAAGTGGAGGCTTCTGCGCTCCCCGCCCCCCGTACGGCCCTCACTGCTGCCCGCCCACTCCTCAGCCCACCCGCTCCCCTGCCAACACTGGGCCCCTCACGCTTGACACCAGCCCAGGCAGGTGGGCAGACGCACCGGCCAACGATCGGAGCCCCTTGATCCTCCGGCTCTCACTCAGCAGCCGGTCGCAGCCAACCTGTGGGTGCCAGCAGAGCCCCTCAGCCGGCCACCCAACTCGAGACCTTCCTAGTCCCAGGTCCCAGAGTGGGTGCAAGGTCCTGGGGCTGGCCAGCTCTGACCACCCCAGGGCAGCCGGGCCCTTCCCTATCCACAGGACACTGCCCTCCCCGGGTTCCCGCCAGCCAGGGGTGGGTGCCTCACCTTGACGGGGTTGGCAGGAAGGTGTCCCACGAAGTCGGTAGGGTACGGGTAGTCCATCATGGCCAGCACGGTGAAGGCATTCCGGGCAAACCCGAAAAGTTGGGTCAGGTCCCCTGGGCCAGAGAGTGGCCAGCAGGTGCCGAACTCCTGGCTGACCGTGTCATAGGCTGCCAGGAGGAGCAGGACAAGGGCCTTTGGAGTCTTCAGGCACACGTGGGGGAGGGGGAAGGGCCAGGGAGGCAGGGGGCGGCCTCCTCACCTCCCTGTAGGAACAAGTCCTTGATCTGCCGGAAGGCGTCCCGCACGGCCTGGGCACACCTGGGACTCTGGCCCTCAAAGTCCTGGAGGAAGGAAGGGTGTGGCTGCACCCGCAGCCGGGGCTGCTTGGGGGAGGGGTCGGGGGCCGGAGGCTTCACTTACTGCTGAGACGTCCCGGAAGAACTGGTAGGGGTCGCCGAGGCCTGCCGCCGCGACGACAGGTGCGCTGGCTGCCAGTGCCCCCGCCACGAGGTGGGGGTACTTTATCCTCATGTAGGCGCTGAGCATCCCCCCATAGCTGGGCAGGGGCGCAGGGTTAGCTGGGTGGCTCCCCACACCACCCCTGCAGCACCCCGCTCCCGCCGGCCCCAGTGCGCCTCCGCGATGACACCTGCCTCCTCTCTCCTTTCTCAGAGCCCCCCACCCCAAGCCTCCAAAGGACCCCAAACTTCTA